CTGCAGCACCTTTCAACAAGATCTCAGCTATGGCGATGTTGGAACAGCAGGATGTACCACAGGGCTGTCTGGAAAATGCCACTCTCACCCCCTCAGGATATTCTCACTGGGCTGTGGGCTGGCATGAATGAAATGCCATTTCCATTCAGGGATCTGGCTTTGCTGCAATCCAGGACCCCCGCAGGAGCAGCGGGACCTGGATGTGAGGGAACAGCAGGAACTGGGCTGCTCCAAGACAGGATGGTCCTCTCCAACCAGCCACAGCCACTGCTGCTGTCACTATCAGTCCAAAATCCAGAGGTCATGGCTGCAGCCACAGTCCACTCAAGAAGCACCAACTTTATCCTGAGCTTAAATAGCCCCCAGCTGCCCCAGGTGACCTGAATGGGGGAGGTCCTGGGTGAGGCCGCTCAGAACCACCAGTGTCAATTAATGCAATCACTGCCCTGGCTGTCAACAATGTGGGAGGAAAGATCCAGGATGGGTCTGGGGTAGAGGTGTGTAAATCAAATGGGCCTCTGGGGAGACACTGGGGTCACCCTTTGCTGCCCCATCGCAGGTCCCCACAGGGGATAACCCTTCCCCTTTTCCACAGAGAGCCCCCAGGGAAGGGTCAGTGGGACAAGGGGTGTCCCAGGGCACAGTCCCCACGTGGCCACACTTACAGACACCTGTAGAATTACACCTGTGTGCCCCTGCATTCCTGCAAGCATACAGAATGGGAGGATGTGTACAAACACACGCACACGTGGGGGCCAAGAGGACTGGCAGGGCTTGAGGCAGGACTGGTGTGGCTTCAAGGGGGAACCCCAGCACCGAATGGGGCTACAGGAGTGGGTGTCTGGATGGGTGTTGGGAAAGAGACACAAGTGAGGGGCTGCGGTAGATCCAGGGTGGGAGCTGGCCTGGAATCCCGAGGGTTGAGCTTTCTGGTCTGTGGGGTGCTGGGGGGCTGGAGCAGGATGTGGGGGTCTGGAGCAGGGTGTTGGGGATCTGTTTGGCATCACCTCTGCATGCCAGGGGAGGGCCCAGCCGTGTCCGGTGGTCCTCAGCTGTCTGGCCCGGTGGCACCCGGCTGTGACAAGGGTTCCCCTCTCCACAGGGGCACCCCGTGCTTGGGGACACCCCCGAGAAGAGGCGCCCGCCTCGGAAAGGCTGTGCCGGGGGGAGCACTGCGCTCTGGGGCCGGCCCGGTGGCGCGGTCGGGTCCCCATCCCCAGCGGGCGCTCCCCGCGCACCGGCCCCGGGGTCCCCCGTCCCTGTCCTGTCCGGGCCGGGCCGGGCCGCGGCGCTCCGGAGCCGCCCCCCGCCGGGGGGGTCCCCGCTCCCCCCGGATGCATGACTTCATCCTTCCGCCCGGGTTTCCTCCCCGCCGCCGCCGCCGCCGCCGCAGACCGGCTCCCGGCTCGGCGCGGCGCGGCTCGGCCCGCTCGGCCCCGCCATGTCGCAGGTGCTGCCCTACGGCGAGGACAAGGTGGGCCGCTACGGCGCCGAGCCCGAGGCGGGGGAGCTGCCCTTCAGCTGCCGCCTGCAGGACACCAACGCCTTCTTCGGGGGCAACCAGGGCAAGCGGCCCCCCAAGCTGGGACAGATCGGCCGCGCCAAGAGAGGTACCGCCGGCCCCGTCTCTGACCCCCAACCCCGCCTCAGGCCCCCCGGGACCCCCGCATCTGCCCTGCAGCATCCCCGGGTTTGTCCCGGGACCCTCGGATCTGCCCTACTGCATCCCCGGCATCCCTGGTGCTGACTCCTGCATCCCCGGCACTGCCCCACGGCATCCCCGAGCCCCCCGGATTGTCCTTTTATCCCTGCTGCTGACTCCCGCATCCCTGACGCTGCCCCACTGCATCCCCGGGACCCCGCATCTGTCCTTGCATTGCCGGCTCTGCCCTGGAATCCCCGGCTCTGCCCTGCAGTATCCCTGGCTCTGCCCTGCAGCGTCCCCGGATCTGCCCTGCAGCATTCCCGGCACTGCCCCCCGGCATCCCCGGCACTGGCCCTTGCATCCCCAGCACCTTCCCATAGCAACCCCAGGATCCAGGATTCTGCCCTTGCTTCCCCGGCATTCCCGGCATCGGGCAGTTCATCCCTGGCACCCCCAATATCCCTGACGAGATCCACAGACTTCCGACTCTGTCTTTGTGTTCCCAGTTCTGCCCCACGGCACCCCCTGTCTCTGCCCTGCAACATCCCCAGCATTGCCCCACTGCATTCCTGCGGCTCCCGGCTCTGCCTTGCGTCCCCAGCGCTGTCCCCGGCCACCCCCGGCACTGCTGCCAGCATCCCCAGAATCTCTGCCCTACATCAGCTCCAGCACTGTCCCCCGGCAACCCTGAGCCTCCCCAGCTCCGTGACTGACACCCGCCCCCAGAAGCCCAGGCTCCCCCATCCCTGCTCCAGACGCCACCACGCTGCTCCCCCTGCACCGGCCCCCGCCTCATGCCGGGACTGCCCCTGGGATTGCCCTGCAGCATCGCTGGGGCTGCCCCAGGACTGCTCCTCAGCACCCCCGGGACTGCCCCCTTCTCACTGAGGATAAACAATCCTTTCTGTACCCGAGGATCCCCAGAACAGCCCTCCTGGCCCCCTGAACCTCTCTGCCTTCCCTTTTCTGCCTGCCGCAGAGACCCCAGCAGCCTCTGGCCATGCTGATCAGCAAATCCCCCCCCACTTTACTGTCCCCCCAGGACTCCGTGAGCCCAGCTGTGTCTTGTCCCTCCGTACTTCCCCTCCTGCTGCAGAGACCCCAGCACCATCTCCCCTGCTTCCATCAGGACCCACAGAACTGCCCCCCTCTCCTTCCTGCACCCTGATCTGTCACCATTGATCCTCCCCAATGCTTTGGGGACCCTTAAAAACGGTCCCCTCTTTTCCTGCAGCCCCCATCCCACCTGCTTGGGGGTCCTCCATAGGCAAACACCCCTCCTTAAGCTGCAGGGATGAGGAGGGAGGGGAGATTTCCCCCCCAGCCCCAGTACACCCCAGCCCCACGAGAGGTGAGCGCTGCCTGCTCCACTGCCCCCTTTTGCAGTGCAGGAGGCTGGCTCTGGCAACACCCCCGGGCTGATGAGGGGGATGCTTCTCCTTCGGTCGTGTTGGGGGGTCCATCTGCTCTCCCAGTATTTCTGGTCTGGTTAATCCACTCCCAGGAGGGCGATGTGGGGGATTACTGACCCCCCAGTGGTGGTATTGGGGTGGGGGTCTGCCCTCCAGCCCCAGGGTGATGTTGATAGGAGGCAGCTGCCCCGGCAGTCACGGTGTGTGTGTGTGTAGCTCCCTGGTGATGCTCACGGGGGTCTGTCCAGCCTCCCACCGCTGCTGCAGGGGGCTGCCCCGTGGGTGATGCTGAGGGGGTCTCTCTGGAAGCTGACATGACGGGGGGCTCTGCAGCCCCCCACGGTGACGCCGATGGGGGTCCGTGCAGCCCGCCGTGCCGTGGGGGGCTGTCCGGCCCCCCCGGCGATGCCGGTGCTGAGGGTGGGTGTCCTGCGCAGCGGGCGATGCTCAGGGGGGTCTGGCTGCCACCCCCGCCGAGCAGGCGGTGCCCCCCCCGCTGGGTCATTACCCATTCCAGTCCTGTTGCTCTCATCAGCGCCTGCCGCAGAGAGGAGGGGGGGTCCTTCCTGGTCTATTCCTGCCCCCCCCGTTCCCTAATCACCCATCCAGAGGCAGCCGGCTGGCTGCGGGGGGGATGCTGCCCCTACCCAAGCCGGGCAGGGGGGTGATCCCCCACCCCTCATCCCGACTGTGCCCACCCGAGCCCCCCTGCCCCGCTCCGGGGGCACACCTGGAGCCTGACGGGGGTGAGAGCCGGGGTAGGGGGGCAGCGGCTGTCGCGTCCCCTCGCCCACGCGCCCCCGCTGTCCCCGCAGTGGTGATCGAGGATGACCGGATAGACGAGGTGCTCAAGGGCATGACGGAGAAGTCGCCGCCGGGGGTGTAAGCCGGGAGCCGCCGCCAGGACCCGCCGGCCGAGCCCCGCTCCAGCCCGCCGCCCCGCATGCTGGCTGGAGCGCCGACGAGGAGGGGGAGGCCATGCCCGCTGCCCCCCCCGGCCCGGGGGGGGGCCCTGCAGCCACCACCACCCCCCCCCGAGCCATGCACTTTACCCCTCCGCCTCCCCCGGGGCCGGGACACAGCGCCGAGCCCCCCGCCCTGGGCGAAGACCCCCCTGCCCGGGGAAGGGGCCCAGCCCCCCGCTCCGCGGCGCGTCCCCCCGATCCTCCTCGGCGGAGGGTCCCCGAACTCCGGGGCCACCCGGCCCCATGAGCGGGGGGGGGAGCGCTGCTGTCCAGAGACATTTTTTGCTCCATCGTTTTTTGCATGAGCTTGGTGGCCCGGGCGGCCGGCCCGGGGGCCGAGGGTCAGCCCCACCACTCCGGCACGCTTCTTTTTAAAACAGAAACTCCTCATATTTGTATTTTTATATCCGAATCTTTGTTAAAAACGATCTGCTGACGTTGAGATGTCAAAGTAACTGCATCGAGAAAACAAACGAAAACAACCAACCAACCAACCAACAACAACAAAAAAAAAAAGGTTCATATTTTTTTCCATAAGAAAAAAAAGATAAAAAAAGAAGAAAAAAACGAGGGCAAAAATTAAAGGGGGGGCGAGAGTGATGGAGGGAGCATGAGGAAAGCCACAGGAGGAGGGAGGGGAGCAGGGACCCCTGGCCCGACCCCCGCTGGCAGGCGGCAGGAGCACCGGCGGGTTTGGCAGCAGCACTGGCCGCTGCAGTTCCTTCCCGGCAGCACCGGGGCAGAGCCCACCGGGGCCGGCTGCAGGTGCCAGGGGGGTCCCAGCACTGCCCCTCGCTTGAGGGTGCTGGGGTCGGGGGAGAGCGGGGAGGGCAGGGACCGGCCTGAGTCGTTGTTTTTAATTTTATACTTTAATTTAATTTTATTTTTTAAGAAGCTTCTCGGGGGGTTCTGATGTGCATGAGAAACTTGTCATCTTTTTCAATAACCTACGAGTGGCATTTATGGAGACAACGACGCAAAAAAAAAAAATAAAAAACACAACAAAAAAAACCAAACAAAAAACTGAGGAAAAAAGAAAAAAAAAAAAAGAAAAAAAAGATACTTGTGTCATGATGTTCTACGAATGATCCATTGTAAATTTAAATGCCATTTTTCACTGTACTGGTGAACAAAATGCAATGAATAAAATACATTCATGTACCCAGGTGAAGCCGGCAGTCGCCTGCTCCTTTCTGTCCCTTCCTCGTGCCAGCTGGTTTTTGGGGTGCCTGTGGGATGGGGTGGCATGGCCAGCATGGGGGCTGACCCCGGAGCCCTTGGCTGGCTCCTGGTGCAGGGGAGCCGCTGGCTGACCCACTTACACCTTCTGCCCGAGAGAGCAGCCCAGCAGCTCGGCCTCTGTGCTGTCACTGCCCAGGAGGGTCCCTTTAGCCCACCCAGGGGGAGTTGGTGCCCAGAGAGCCTCTGGGGACACTGGCAGTGGCACCCATGCACCTGCCCCAGCAGCACACACGTGGTGGTTCACCCGTCACCCCCGCTGGCACACACGTGTCACTGTGCTGCTGGCCCCAGGCACAGGGGGACACAGACCAGGTGTGTGCAGGACACCAGGACTGTCACCACAGGCAGGAGTGGGGATGGATGGGGAAAGCAGATATGCTGCCCTTCCTGTCCTGTGGCACCGCCTGCCCCATGCTGGCACACTGCAGCCTGGACCCCCCAGTACTTGGAGGGGGTGACAAGGACACGGTGCCCTTGCACACCCCCAGGGCCAGGTCCCGGTGCAGGATGGGGTGGGGGGGGTGGAGCAGTGAGCACCCTCAATCCTGCCCCCCATAGCCAGTGCCAGTACCCCCATTCTGCCCTGAGCCTGGCTGTCCGTGCCAAGGGGAAGGGATGGGAGACAGGGAGCCACTCCCTGCAAGATGGATGGGTGAAATTAAACCCGATTTGGTTTCATTACTGGCTGCAAAGCCTGGAGCCCTGGCTGCTCTCCAGCTCAGCAAGGAAAGGCCAGGGAGGGGGCACAGAATCACCAGAGCATCCCTATGCCCCCTGGAGGAGGTCAAGCATCCCCCTCTTCCCCCCCATCACCCACACCACTGGGCAGCTCGCAGGGGGATGCACCTGTCTCCCACCTGTGAGGATGGAGCACCTTAAGGCTTTGCTGGGAGCTGGGTGAGCCCCGGGGTCAGAGCTGGATGGCGAGCAGATAGTCCTCATCATCGTCCGGGGGGGCGGGGGGCGGCGGCGGGGCGGGGCCCGGGGGGGGCTGGTGCAGGCGGCGCCCCAGGGCCACATCCCGGGGCTCCAGGGGCTGCCCCTTGCGCATCACGTACAGGAAATAGTGGAAGGCTCCGGCGTCGCCGTCCCCGCAGGCAGCGTGGCGCAGGGACCAGCCAAAGGCCTCCTGGGCGTAGTGGGGCTTGCGGAAGTGGGGCTGGGCGAAGGTGATGGAGATGAAGCAGCCCCCTGGGCGCAGCACGCGGCTCACCTGCGGCAGGAACAGCCCCGGGATGGGGTGGGGGAACACAGTGAGGGTCACTGCTTTGGCTCTGTTCTCAGGGACCCCATCATCATCTGCCAAAGACCCCTCCCAGCCTTTCCCATCACACCCCAAAATCTCTTGTCCTAACCTTAACCCCCCAAGAGACACCCCGGGTCCGACCTGTCCCCAGACCACCCACATGGAACAGGGGTCTCCATGCTCCATCTCTCCCTGCACCACAAAACTCTTCACTCCCACCCACAGCAGACAGCATAGAAACCCAACCCTGGCATGGGAAAAGCTTCATCCTTTTGAGCACAGGGCCCCCCTAAACACAGCATGGGACACCCATCCCACCCACCCCTATCCAGACCACCCAGCACTACCACCAACACCCAGAACCAGAGGGGAACGCGGGGGGTGTTTGATGGGAAAGGACTCAACCCTTTTAATCACCATTTTCTCCCTGCTGGAATTAAGCCCCGCTAACAGGATGGAAAAGAACATCAATTTTCCTGCTTGGCTTTATCCAATGTCAAAAGGCTTTTACGGCCAGCACCCGCGTGCTCAGCATGCAAAGGCACTGCCCGGGGCGGGCGGGCGTCCAGCCCCCTCCCCGCACCCTGCCCCAGGCAGGGACACCCCAGACCCCCCCGGCAAGGGCAGAGAGTCCCCGCTGCAGGGGACAGGGCTGGAGGCCAACTGGGGGGTTTCCCAAGCTCTGCTTTAATCCCGCTGGGAAGCTCCAGCTGGGGAGCTCTGGCTGGGGCCAGTGGAGGGGACAGGCAGCCTGCGTGTCCTCTCCTGCTGCGGCGGTGGCTTTTGAACCAAACCCTACCGGTTTTGGCCAGGAAAATGGGAAGGCAAGTCCCTACATCCCTCTTTGGGCACCTGGCTCAGTATCCCTCCCTGCTATGTGCCTGAAAATCTGCCCTGGGAAGACCCCAGAGCTTCCCAAGCGATGGGCGGGGAGGGGGTCCCCGGAGGTGGGGGCAGGCAGGGATCTCCAGCTGGAACTGAGCGAGGCATCCCGCATGTCCACATCCATCCCTCGTTAACAGAGCAATAATGGCCGTTGCTTGGAGACGAGCGCAGGAAACCTTCCCATCCTTCCCATCCGTCAGCGGGAGCAGGGGGGCCGAGGGGCCGCTCCCGCCACACCCGCTGTCCCCAGCAAGCTGGGACAGGGTGTCCCTGCGGTGTCCCCACAGGCAGGGTGGATTTCCACTTCTTACATGTCCCCAGGGAGAGGAAGAGAGAGGCTGTGAACCCCCCAGTGAAGGGGGATGGGGGTGGGAAGGGAGGTACCACGGACAGACAGACCCCTCTGAAGGGATCTCCAAAACAGGGAGCAAGTGGGAACACCCAGCGAGTCCCCGTGGGGACGAGGACAGCAGGGACAGGCTGCGGGTGGAAGCTGGTACCCAGCGATGCTGGGGGAGGGCAGGGATTGAGCAGAGGATTAAAAAGGGAAAAAAAAAAGGGAAAATTAAATCCCTGCCGTTTGGCAAAATGACAAGGACAGGCAGCAGCGCTGGCAAGGAGGGCAGAGCACGGATAGCGAGCACAGCCCCACTGCCCTGCCGGGGCTTGAGCTCCCTCCCAGGCTCAGCCAGGCAAGAGAGGATTGGGAGGGCTGTCAACAGCCACGAGCACCCTCCCAGCACCCCGTGCCTGCAACCCCAGGGTGCCAGGGAGGTGCAGCAATTAATTATCCTGGCAGTTATTCCCGCAGGGTGGGAGAGGCTGCCAGGACCCGCACCCCCGCGCTGGGACAGGTTCAATCCGGTCCTGCCGCCGCCAATTAACAGGGCCCCGAGGCATCGCCCGTCCCCGTGGCAACGCCATGGCCCTGTCGATGCTGATGGGAGTTGCCATGGCAACACCAGACCAGATGATGGGGACCCCGGCTAAGGCGATCGAAGCTGAGGCGGGGGGTGCGGGGGGGCCAAAGCTCTCACAGCCCCACGGTCATTACCTTGCCCTGGGCTGGCAGGGCCACCGCGGTGTGTCCCCCTGGGTCTCCTACAGCCACCCACGCTAGGATGGGCCCATTTTTCCAGCCAACTCTGTGTATTTAGCATGCAAATAAATAGAGGGACCATCCAGCAGGACCCAGGGACACATCCTGCTCCATCCACCTCCCTGGGGAGGAGATGATGGGCTGTGAGAGGGGTAGTTTCCTACCCCCAGGCGTGCTGGGAGCTCCCCAGGTGTCCCCCTGCAACACAGCTGAGGGGCAGGACAGAAACACCGGCTGGGAAGACAGAAACCCCGGCTGGGGCACGCACAGGGAAGCAGGGTGGTGAGCAGGCACTCAGCACCTTTCCCCAGCCCAAACAGGGACGGGGTCCCACCCTCTGCACCCCTGCCCAGGTCCCCCCAGCCCGTACCTCCGCCAGCACCCGGCGCATCGCCGCGGCCGCCTGGGGCGAGACGTGCCAGGGGTCGGTTTCCTCCACCAGGAGCACGTCGAGGGTGCCCTTCTCCAGCACCACGTCGAAGGAGGCGTCGGGGAAGGCGAGGGCGCGGATGTCCATGACGGCCCAGCGCAGGCCGGGGCAGCGGGCGTAGCGGGCGCGCATGGCCGCGATGCAGGCGGCCGAGAAGTCGATGCTGGTGACGTCGGTGTAGCCCAGCTCGTGCAGGTCGTGGCTCAGGGCGCTGTTGCCACAGCCTGCGAGGGGCACAGCTCACACAGGGCTCGGGGTGCCCGTGCCAGCACCCCAACTCTGTCCCTGCACCCCGAAACGCTTCACTCCTACCCACAGCAGACAGCATAGAAACCCAACTCTGGCATGGGAAAAGCTTCTCCCTTTCGAGCACAGGGACAGGGGAGGGTGTGGGTGGGCTGGGGCTGCTGCAGAGGGGCAGGTCATGGCTTTGATGCCAGCTAGTGAGGGTTGGGCGAGTCCCTAATTACCCCTGTCCTGCCAGGTGGGTGCTTTGGGATCCTGTTCTGGGGCAGCTCTGCACACCCGAGCCCCTCACCTTGGCGTGGGAGGCAAGGGGAGGCTGGAGGCAGGAAAGGGGCAGGGGGCGTCCCCAGTTATCCCTCCCGCAGTGCTGTGGGGCAGGAGCCGGCTGCGGTCCCAAGAGCCTGCCGGATAACTCCAGTGGGAAATTAGGGAACTTCGGCTGGGGTTTAACAGGGTGTGATGGCGAGAGGCATGAAAGAACTGGCGTCTCAACAGGACACAGGGAGTGCCCCGCTACCAAGCCCTCCCCTCGGAGCCGTTCCACCGGGGCTCGGCCGCTCACCGGCGGGGCGAGGGGGATCCCAGGGAGGGGGGTGGATTTGGGGGCTATTAAACGCAGCTGGCAGCGGCTGATCCACTAACAGGATCGGTGATTACACCCGCTTAATCCCGCCGGCGGATCAGACCGCAGGTGGGATTACGGGGCAGTTATACCCGCCACCACCGGGGCCACCCCGCGGGCCGGGCTGAGCGCAGCTCCCGGTACCGGCCCGGTGCCACACCGCCCTCTGGCGGCTAGCGGCAGCGCATGCACCGGCGGGACCCCGAGCCCCGCCCGCCCGCCCTCCACCGGGCACGCCAGGCACGGGGCACGTACCGAGGACGAGGATGCGGTCACCGGGGCGCAGCTCGGGCTCCAGCTGCGGCAGAAACCGGGAGAGCCCCCCCAGCCACTCGCGGGTCTCGGCGCCCTCCCGCCGGTACAGCTCGTCCCAGAACCGGCGCCGCCCGTACCGGGGGGGGGCGGCGGGCGCGCGCCGCCGCTCCATGCCCGCGCGCGGGGCGGGAGCACCGGGCGCCACGTGCCGCCCGCGCCCCACGTGCGCCTTCCGGTCCGGGCCGGTGCCCGCGCTAAGCGCTCCGGGCGGAAACACGGAGCGGAATGGCGGCGGGGCGGGGGGCGGCGGTGCTGCGGCGGGCATGGCGGGAGCGGCGGGCGGCGCTGCTGGAGCCCCGCTACACGCCGCTGGTGGCAGCCTGCCTCTGCCTGGCCGAGGGCGGTGTCAACCTCTGGGTCATCCGCAGGGTCCCCTGTGAGTGCCGGGGCCCGGCCCGGCCCGGCGCTGCCTTGGGGCTGCCCCCGAGGATGGCGGTGCCGGTCCGTGAGGCTGGGGCGGTGCGGGGACAGCGACAGGGACGGCTCGGTCCCGGGGTGGGCGGTGATGGCGGGGCTTGTCCCGGACAGCTCGGCCCCGGGGCGGGCGGTGATGGCGGGGCTTGTCCCGTGGCAGCGCGGGGGGCAGGGATGCCGCGGGCACGGGGACAGCGCTGTCCCGGCCCCTCGGGTGACAGCATCCCCGGGCAGGGGGACAGGGCCGGGCCTGGGAGGGACGCGGGGCTGGGCCGGGGGTGCGGGATGTGGCGGCTCGGGAGAGCCCGTGCTGGCAGCGTGGCAGCGAGGCACAGGGTCAGGCTGCGGGTATGGGGCTGGGTCAGCCCCCGCAGTGCCCCGAGCCCCGCTGAGCCCGCCGTCCCGCAGACACCGAGATCGACTGGAAGGCCTACATGCAGGAGGTGGAGGGGTTCGCCAACGGCACCCGCGACTACACCCAGCTGAAGGGTGACACCGGCCCGCTGGTGTGAGTGACCGGGACACCCAGCTCTCCGTGACCGGCGCCTCCCCGAGGGGCCGCAGGGCCCCGCCCCTCACTCTCGTCTCCCTACAGCTACCCCGCCGGCTTCGTGTACATCTTCCTGGGGCTCTACCATGCCACGGGCCGCGGCTCCGACATCCGCCTGGCTCAGTACCTCTTCGCCGGCCTCTACCTCCTCAACCTGCTCCTCGTCTTCCGCATCTACTGCCGGACCAACAAGGTACCCTGAGGCCGGGGCTCTGCTGAGCCCTCACCCCGGCAGAACGGACACGGGCTCAGGGATGGGGTGTGGAGGAGCTCAGCAGCAGCAGCAGGGAGCCCAGGACAGGCTGCCGATGACCCTTCTGTGTTTCTGTCCCCTGCAAGGTCCCTCCGTACGTTTTCTTCTTCATGTGCTGCGCCTCATACCGCATCCACTCCATCTTTGTGCTGCGGCTCTTCAATGACCCTGTGGCCATGGCCATCCTCTTCCTCGCCATCAACCTCTTCCTGGAGGAGCGCTGGTCCTGGGGCTGCCTCCTCTTCAGGTGAGGGGCTGGGAGCTGCTTTCCGTGGCTGCTGGGTGTGTGAGCCAGCTCAGGCCCAGCAGGAGGCTGTGCTCGGCTCAGGGGCTGCCGGGGCTCCGTGTGGGCTCCGCAGTGGTAATGCAGCTTCCTGCTCAGCCTGGCTGTGTCCGTGAAGATGAACATCCTGCTCTTCGCCCCTGGACTCCTCTTTCTCCTCCTGCAACGGTTTGGCCTCCTGGGCTGTATCCCCAAGCTCTGCATCTGTGCCCTGCTCCAGGTGGGTCCCTGTTTGCACCGGCTGCAGCAGCAGGGAATGGGGGCTGCCTTGCCAGGCTGCAGAGCTGTGGGTGGAGACAGTGGTACCAGCACCTGTGGCCTCTCACAGCAAGCTGGGTGTTCATAAATAATCTAACTCACGTGACTTTCCTCTTGGGCTGACTGTCCTGTCACCACATGTGGCCCTGGGCTTCTCAGGTGGTAGCTGGGGTAACAGCACCCTGGTGTAGGGCTCTGTGATGGTGCTGGTGTGTCCCTGCAGGTGGTTCTGGGCCTGCCCTTCCTGCTGGTGAACCCCATGGGGTACCTGACCCGCTCCTTTGACCTGGGCCGCCAGTTCCAGTTTAAATGGACGGTGAACTGGCGCTTCCTCCCAGAAGAGGTTTTCCAGAATCGAGTCTTCCATGCTGCTCTGCTCCTGGCTCACCTGGCAGGCCTGGGGCTCTTTGCACTGCACCGGTGGCACAGGTGAGACCTGCAAGATACAGATCCATGACTGCCCTGCCCCTGCAGTGCTGCAGTCCTGGGATTGCAGGTGTGAGTTGGAGGGCAGTTACTGTTCTATTCTGGGAAATATATGGCCCAGGCATTGTGGCTCACAGGGGAACACTGGGGTGGGAGAGACTTTCAGCAGCTGAGATCAATGTTTGTTCTTCCCTCTCAGTTCTAAAGAGAACATCCTGACTCTGTTGAAGGATCCTGCCAAAAGGAAACCTGCATCCCCTCGCTTGACTGTCAACAATATCCTTTGGCAGGGTGGGCAAGGAGAGAGGGAGAAGGCAGGGCAGGGAGAAGCCTGGTTGTGTCCCAGGCCATGCAGTGCTGTTGCACCAGCCTGCCTTGGGAAAAGGAGCTTTGCTGGGGAGCTCTTGTGGGACCACACCTCCAGCCTCCTGTGTTTGCCCCCTTAATGCCAGTGCATGGATTGTCTTCATCCTCTTCTCCTCCAACTTCCTGGGTGTCTGCTGCAGCCGCTCCCTGCACTACCAGTTCTACGTCTGGTATTTCCACACTCTGCCCTACTTACTCTGGTGCACCCCGACCACCAAGCTGGCCCACATGCCCAAGTACGTGCTGGCAGGGAGGGGAGCCCCTCTGCTGGGGCTCTGGGAGTGAGGATGGCTGCGTCCCCCACACTGACCCCCAGCTTTCCCCTGCACAGGGTGCTGCTGCTGGGCGTGATCGAGCTCTGCTGGAACACCTACCCCTCCACAGTGTGCAGCTCCCTCTCCCTGCACCTCTGCCATGGACTCATCCTGCTCCAGCTCTGGTACGGCACAGCCCCCACGCCGGTGTCACACACCCCTCCACCGAGCAGGAAACCCACAGCCACGTCCAGGAAAGCCCAGTGAGAGTGGGGATGGCTGGCCAGTGGGAACTGGCCTCTGGAACTGCCCCATCTGCCTGCTCTTTTCCCACTTGACTCCAGGCTGCCCACAGCAATCCCAAGAGGGCCATGAGCCCTGGAACTGTGCAAAGGGGGCAGGTGTGGGGTCCCCCAAAAGGCAGGACTTCCCAAATAAAGGGGGCTTTGTGTGCCCTTCCCCAAAATCCTTGTCCTGTGATGATGTCAGAGCAGCTGTCCCTGGACTTGCCCCACCTGAGTGAAGGCAGAGCATCTTCTAGAGCCATGAGCACTCTGGCTTTCCAGCTGTGGGAAAGGGGTGCCCAGGGCTAGGCAGCAGCCTCTGGGGTGAGGTTAGAAGAGAGGAGCTGCAGAACTGCTTTGCCTCACTGTTTCATTTGCTTTGATGGAGCCAGGAGTCCCTCCAGTACAGCTTTTCCTATTCCCCTGCCTGCTCCCTCCCACCAGAGATGACTGGGAAGGGGGTGACCCCCTCCTATGACTCTGGTGAGTCCTGGCATGGCCTGAAGGGAGCCAGCAGCTCTCTGCTGATAACAGAGACACCAGTGCAGGTGGCTTGGAGCCAGGTGTCTTTATTGGCCCCTTGGGCGCCGTCAGACGTTGTTGGGGTTGTAGCACAGCATGTTCAGCTTGATGTTCTCGTCCCAGTGACGCAGCAGCAGGAACAAGTGCCTGGCTGCCCCTTTGAGGCAGCCCACGTCCACCCCCTCGGGCAGGCGCTGCGCCCGCAGCCACGCGTCCGCCTTGGCCGCCACCAGCTCCCACTCCTCAAGGAACCCGGCACAGCGATGCTCCAGCCACGCCAGGGCCACCGCCGTGGCCCAGCTGGCGCTCTCCAGATCCTCTGGCCCCACGTCCTGGCAGCTCACGCCGGCCTCAGAGGGGGCGGCCGAGTGGGGCCCGGTGTCGGACTCGGAGCCGTGCCCGCTGTCGGCCTGCGCCCACGCGGCCGCGCTGGGCACCTCGGAGCAGGTGCTGCGGGACGGGGGCGAGCTGGGCTGCGGGGCTGGGAGGGGCTCCTCGCCCTCCTCAGCCCCGGCTGCTGCCTCCGGCAGGCTCCCGGCCCCTGGGGACACGGGGCTGAGGCTGGCACGGTGGGAGGCGTAGGGGGAGGCGCGGCGCAGGCGGTCCAGGGGGATCTGCACCACTTCAGAGAAGCTATCGGTGAGCTGGAACGGCCCCCGGGCTTGCTGCAGCTGCACCTGCAAGGAGGGGGCACAGACAAGTGGGGAGGGCAGGCAGGGGTGCAGGCCCACCACAGCACCAAACACTGGGGCTGCAGGAGTGTCCCTGGGGCACAGGGACAGTCTAATGCCCCCCAAAAAGCCAACCCGGATCCCCATGCAGGGCTGACACAGCATCTTCCACTGCTTGTGCTGCCAGGCACGACCTGGGTGGCTCAGCTGGCACCCAGCAGGGCAGGTCCCCCCGCTGGGATGGGGACAGGGGACAGGGAGCAGGTCCTTACCAGCGGGAGGTAGTCATGGCTGGCGTGGTTGCTGGAGCGCTCGCTCTCTGGGCTGAGGCACTGCGGGCGCAGCACCAGGCTGGGGCCCCTGCGCCTGCTCAGGCTAAACCTGTGGGGTCACAGGCAAGGTAACAGGATTGGCAGGAATTCCTGAAAGGCAGCTGGATGCCCAACTGATGCAGGGAAGGGGCTGGAGTGCCAAATTCCCCCACTTATGCTGCAGGAGCTGGCAGGGGACAGGGGACCAGCAGCTCCCCAAAAGTGTCACTGTCTCCCTCTCCCCACAACATGCCGTTTTTTGGTCCCTTGCATCCCCCCATCCCGCAGTGTCACCTGGAGCCTGCGATGCTCTCTGTGGATTTCTGGGAGCCCATGGAGGTGGTGGAGGGGCTGGATGGAGGCCCTGCAAGGGGGAGAGTTAAGCACAGTGGGAACATGATGCACACAGAGGGGTGTCCCACTGCCCAGTACCTGGGAGGGCAGCTCAGCCCACATGCCCAGGGTACTGAGGGCACAGTGGATGCTCCAGCTGTGGCAGGGCATCGAGGGTAGCCCATCT